GAAATGGTGTCATACTTTAAGCCCATTAGAAAACCCGGTGAGTGGACTACTCGAAAGCTACACTTATTATGGGGGATTAGTCGGGTGGTAAAAACCCGGACACCCCCGGTTATTAAGGAAAAAAAAGGTTATGTTCTCATTTTCTAATTTATCTAACCAAATAGTTTTGACTCAAATCATGACCATTGAATGATGACCAGATTAATAACCTTCCAGTCAAAGACTTAGCTTCGACAATATAACAAAACAAAAGAAACAAATTTAATATACTAATTGAACTCTTACTCTTTAAGGTTTTCTATTTAAATCGATAAAAACTCAAAATTTTCCAGAAATAAAATAAAATCAGCATAGTCTCTTATTCAATTAACTTGTCATAACTAGTGAAATTGAAAAAAAAAATCTCATATCTATTCCATAATTGTTGTCAAAATCCGGTGATTTGTGTCTCATCAACGGCGGAATATTCATCTATCCCCACTTTTTTTTTTTTTTTGAAAAAAAATCTATCCCCACTTTGACTTCGTTTTCACATACGTACGGTATGGGACACTACCTTCGACCTCAAGGTCAAGGAAGGCGACATTGTTTGCCCTTAAATTCTCTAACCCAAATTGTTTTTGTTTAATTCGGTTTTGGTCCATGTTAGTTTAGTTACGTGAGCTAGCATATGAAACTGATGATTATTACTTAAATATTGTCCGAATGAGATTAATAAAGAAACACTCGTCTTTTTATGTTGGTTTTACGCTATGTATTTATTATTTAATACGGTTCACATTCTGCTGACCAAAAAGCCAGGACATAATATAGTAGAGATTGATGTAATGATGTTCAACACCATCATTTGACATTTTTTTATCTAGAAGAAGAAATTTTTGATTAGAAAAATGAAAACACAACACAATTGAACACAATCGGAGACGAAAACAAAGAAAAATGAGATTGTGGCATATTGTGTTTCTATATTCTTATGAAATCAAAAATCGTATCTTTATACATTAAGGCAACAAGAGAGTTAAACATATGCAATGCAATGCAATTAAACTGATTACACTTTTCTCATTCTCCATCTCCAAAAACACAAATGTCAATAACAGTGGCGTTTGCACTTAAATATATTATTGTTTTTCTTCTTCTCTCTATGGTCACTAAAGGTAATGTAATCGAATTTCTAAAGCTTTTCTTTGCCAACAAATCCGTTAGGGCTTTTCTCAGCTTTTACAGAAAATTAGAGTCCAAGTACTCAAAATGTAAAAATAGCAACACCATTTTACAACGGATTCGAGCTATTTTTACTGCCTCTTATCTTTTAATCTTTTGGTTACAAGG